TGATGATGGTTATCGGTGGCTTGGTTGTATTTAGGGAAGAGATCTTCGATTATATTCTGTAGAGTATTTTAGATGTTTGAAGTGAATCTGTTGTTATTAGAGTTGATGTTATGCGTGACACTGGTCGACATGATTTCTTTCCGTACTGTATAGTAAGGAGTCGACCAAGGATTGCTTTCTCCAAGCTTTGTACAGAATTTCCGCCACGATTCATTGCGNATTTAACTTTTTTGACATTAAATTAGGCAATTCGACTATATTTAGGCATGTAAATATGTTTTTAAAACTATCTAGCAATAAATATTCCCGGAAAACTCCACCTCCCTATAGTAAGTGTATGTAAGATGTTCTTGCTGTTGATTGGCATTAAAATCTTTATTTCTACGCCTATTACGCTCTAATTGGTCATTTATATTATGACAGAATCAACTTTCAATGAATGAGAGTGTTTTCAGAGCCATCTGGTCTGGATTTTCCTGCGAAGAACCAATCCACGTGATCAAAGTGAGAATGTAAACAAACGTTAAAAAATTGCTGTATTCTATATTTTAGGGCGTATTTTTACTAGTTTGCATGTTATTTGACTTTACTTAGATAAGAAGATTTTTTAACAAAATCTTCCAGATAAAAAATTAACCGGGAAACTTATTACTTCCNATCTATGGAATGTCATGTATAATAATCTCCTGAACATTCAACATACCTTCCCTCAAGAATATAACGTGCATCTACAAGGTTATGCTGATGACATTATTCTCATTATCTTTCATCAGTACCAAGAAACTTTTCAGGCAAGCATGAATGAAATCTTATAGAGTATCTCGAGGTAAAGTGAGAATAATAAGCTTAAAATAAACTATTCCAAGTGCCAATACATTGTCTTCCCTAAAAATAAACCCTTGCGGAAAAAAACCATTGTTAAGATAGACGGTAACAGAATTAAGAACATTAATCAAATCAAGTACTTAGGAATTATTCTTGACAACAAGCTCACCTAGAAGGAACACGTGCAACACACCTATGAAAAGATAACCAAAATAATGCATTTTCTTGCTTCTACAGCAAGAAACCGATGGGATTTCAGCAGTAAGGCACGCAGACTAATGTATACTGCTGTGATAGAGCCTATTATCACGTACGGCTCAGAGATCTGGGGCAATTTTGTTGACAAGGTTCACATTAATAGGTAGTTACTTTTTGCTCAGAGACTAGCAGCCATCTCAGTGGTTAAGGCCTACAGAACTGCTCCCACTGATGCAATCCTTGTAATTGTGGATCTTCTACAATTGACTAAGTTATCAAAAGTAAAGTTTGGAAATTTCATCAACATAAACTTGCTAACAAAAATTTACCACTGAAAAGTATAACTCCATCACCAAAAAAATAAATGACCATTATGACGCCGTTAGTATTTGCTAATTTCATAGCTGATCACGGACTGGACGTAAAGCCAGTTCTTCAAGAGTTACATCTTAATTTTATCTTTGATCATCTTTTCTTCATAAACGGTTCCTGCAACCACACTGTCCTTTGTGTATATACAGATGGCTCTAAGTCAAATAGAGGGGTTGGCTCCTCCATCGTTGTGGTCTTCAACAACATAAATGTCTATCAGGCGCAGTATATGCTGGCTCCTCACTGTACGGCTAACCAAGCTGAATCACTGGCTATCAGGAATGTTCTAAAATGGATCAGGAATAATGCCAACTCTAGGTTCTATAATAAAGTTACCATTCTTACTGATATTAGCGTTGCCCTCCTTCAACTTAAAAACCCTAACATAAAACTCCCCATTGTCAGTAAATCTCTTCAAACCCTTCATGAAGGACTATGAAAAAATACTCATGAAGGATATTGACTTCAAATTTATTTGGGTGAAGGGCAACTCCGGTATTCCCGGGAACGAGAGGGCAAATCTACTGCCCCGCACTGCATCTGATAGGTGCACCCACTGAACTTACAGCAGTGTTCCCTACCTTGCTCTCCGATCAGATTAGTCTGGCCTGCTGGAAGTACTGGCAAGCAAGGTGGGATGCCAGCTCCACGGGTAGGTTAACCGACAAGTTTATTCCCGACGCTATTATCAGAAGGGAAAACAAGCATCTGTTTCCCTCCTAACTTCTTACTCAACTGTTGAGCAGTCACGGCAACTTTATATGTTACCTCTTGCGGTTTCTTCGTAAGGGCAATGGACAGTGCACGTGCTCTCTTAACGAGATGGAAGAACTATATCATATAATTTACTACTGTCCTCACTATACTTCTCAAAAGAGGAGTCTCAATAATTCCGCTCTCACTGAAGGGATTCTTTGGCCCTGCGAGCTCAAGACTTTTGTAAATAACAAATCCATCTACAGTGCCTTTAAGGACTTTGCCCATAGCATAAATGTGCTGGGCTAATTGTCCCTCTAGCTTTTTTGGTTTTATTGCTGTCTCCAAATTGTTCGGACTTTCATCTGTATGCTTGTTCTTTATCACTCCCGCAAAGTTTTGTCATCACACCGTCACACATATCTTGCTTTTCAACTTTGCGTAATGCGCTTCATTATGTTAATTGTGTTACCGAAACCACGATTCCTATGTAATCTTTTTTTTATTCTTTACTATCTCACTTTATGTTTTTCTTCCCACTTACCCCTTCAACATGACATCTTTTTTCCGTTTCAACTGTTGGGCTATACCATTGTGTGCGGCCCTTTAACCTTTCTATTGTATTGTATTGTATTGGTTGTACTTTACCAAAGTAGAAGCACACCCTTTTTTGAATAATATATCCCATTAATACTGTCGCGACTCTTCTACTTCATTTTCTATATTGTAATCAACTTCTCGTCTAAAATATCTGTATTATATTTCGCATTTGTACTCATCTGGTTGTCTCGCGGTACTAGGTATGTACTCAATTCTAGTACCTAATAAAGAATAAAGTAAAAAGAAAGTAAGTGTGAGGTTATTGTGATGTTAAAAATATCTGACTGCCGGGACAGAAAAAAATAAGTGAGTAATTTTTCAAGTATTAACTATTGTGCTACTTTGTAATCATGTTCAAATGAAGATCAGTTTGATGTAAATGCCTGTTAGAAATGGTCATTTTTCTTGCCAATTTTGACCATGTAGTCACTTTTTAAACAATTTTAAACTGCATGATGAGACAGAAAACTGCTCTAGTTAGAAATTATTTTTACAAAACAGTGTAGATTGCTCCAAAGACCTTTGGAGGGATAGGTTACACCAGACTATCTTGAATACTACAAATTGAATAAATAATTGCAGTGTGTAGCGTCTGTGTAATCTAAAACGAGTTGGTAGACGAACGGACAGCAATTGGTTAGAAAACGTACGTTTTATTAAAAAAATTCCTAATTCATAATCTCCTAATTTTTTAAATAAAACGTACGTTTTCTAACCAATTGCTGTCCGTTCGTCTACCAACTCGTTTTGGATTACACAGACGCTACACACTGCATTTGATGATACAACAACCACGTCCTGTACATTATGAATAAATAATTCTTTTTTGCTATTTGTTTGACTTACATATGTGGAGATTGTGTTACAAATACTCAAATTTGTATTCGTTACAAACACTTTGAACTGTTTTTCTTTTTACTAACGCCTGAGTAAGACCAGCATAAAATGGCGAAAAACATTTGTAGATGATAGTGTCAAACTGAATTTTGCCAGAACCGTAAAGAAAGGTTAAGCTTTATATACAATCTTCTTATTTAAGTATATTTTCGTGTTATATTTTCTTTGCATGTTTAGTTAAATTTGGATAGACTTAAGAATATGTAAGACTGCTTAAATAATTACATAAATATTTTTGTTGCTGTTCAATTACATTTAAATTAATGCATTATTTCAGACTCATTTCAAAATGAAAAGTAAAGTGATATTGGCCTCATGCACTCTGAACCAGTGGGCGATGGATTTTGAGGGGAATTATCATCGCATCTTGAGAAGTGAGTCCTGCACATTACAATTTGATTTATTTGAACATATGGAGATACATTACATCTTTGCTTTTTCTTTTAGGTATAAATGAGGCCAAGGCTGCGGGTGCCACATTTCGTTCCGGACCCGAATTAGAAATTCCGTGAGCATGTCAANGTTCTGTAAGCCCGAGAGATGTGGATAAGAGCGCTTCTTTGTGCTGCAATGAGCTTCCGTTTGATGTGTACCTTGCGGACAGCCCATCCCCAGCTGCCGCAAGCATTGGTGATAATAATAACGAAGATATGATTGTATATAATTTCCATTTCATCAGAAGCTAGGCCCCATCTTCTTCTTGCAAAGCCGGCAAAAGTATTAAAGGTCCGGCGAGTTCTCTCCGCTATATATTCCGTGTGGGCAGTACATAAGAGACTGTGGTCGAGCACCACACCCAAATACCTGATATTCTTTTTAACAGTTACAGTACGTCCCCCCATTTTAATGGTGGGGACTCTCAAATATAGGTTGCGATGTCCAGGTTTGTAAAAAATTATGCATCTAGTCTTTTGCACGTTGAAGTTTAGTTTATGTTCCTTTCCCCACGTTAAAATATTATCCAGAATGCTAGTTCCGTTTTTCTCAATGTCTGCCCTAGAGCGGCATCCGAGGTGCACCATGGCATCATCTGCATATGCAATTGTGTTGTGTTGCCCAAAATTCTGCACCAAAAAGTCATTGAAGATAATATCTCATAGTATTGGGCCACAAACAGAACCCTGAGGGCAGCCGCGAACAACGCTGCGGCTGATAGTGTGCCCTCCACACTGTAACGTGGCTGATCTGTCACATAGGTAATCTTTTAGAATCTTGTAAATGTTTGCAGGACAATTCATATTCCTAAGATTCTGTAATATCAATGGCCACCAGGCACTGTCAAACGCCTTTGCAATGTCCAGGCTGATGGCCAGGACATAATTATGATTGTCCAGGAGATGATTGACATTGTTGAAGACTTCGTTAATGGCGTCGGCTGAAAATTTTTGAAGGCGGAAGCCAAATTGGGAGCGATGNACTTTTTCTATTTTGTCCATTCGACAAAATGCAGCACCCACATTCCATATGCCCTGGACGGAGTGGAAATATTCGTGAACGGAAGTGGCTCCTATCACGAGTTATGCAAAGCCCATGTACTCGTCGATTTGGTTAAATCTGCAACGGCAAAGGTTCATTAATTGATTAATAAAAATTAAATTTACTATAGTTGCTAGGTGACGAAGGTATTTATTAAAGTTTTCTTCAGAACGGAGGGATTTATGTATTTTCCAATTTGAGAGGATGTGACGGAGAGAGAGTCTACTATCAAGGTTGTTCGCACATTGCCATTAACGGACATGTGGTTTCTCGGGCCAGGCAGTTTGCGCTCCAAGAAGTGGTAAGTTTGTGAAAAGAAATTTCATTTAATCATTTGACAGGCTTTGACATAAACATTTGGGGCCTTGATTAAAACAGCATTGTCTCTACTGTCAATCTCTGCCCAGTGAAAACGATAGCTCAAAAGAATATTGTGGATGTAAAAATCACACTGTGGTGTAAGAATGCCTACATTCGTTGTCTTATAAAGCCTGTTGTTTTAGTGGCAGTGTGCTTTGTATAGTTACCTTATTTGGTTAGGATTGCCTCAATACATATCAACTTAGTCAGTGGCATTGTGTCACTAAGCAAGTGTAATCTCACCTACTGACAAGTGAGAAACAATGGATAAAATCCCAGAAGAATGCAGAAATTGGGAGTACTGTACATTATACTATAACAACAACTGCACAAGTAAACTGGAACGATACACGAACAGAATAACTCCTGAACACAAATTTGAACACTAATTAGTTTTGTATTTATTTGTTGAAAATTTGGGTTTAGGTGTTATTCTGTTTGTACATTATACTGACTTAAAAACAGCAGTATGGGAATAATATGACGTATGTGGGTTGACAACAGGAAATTTGTGTAATGGTTGTACAAATACTGATATAATGCTCATAACTGTAGAAATATTATGCCAAAAGCAGAGATTTTAATGCCGCTGAAGTAATCTGGAACATTTGGTTGACCGCCAAGTCACTACCTACTATGGTTGATTCACAATAAGTCAAAAAGAATGACATAATTGTGACACTATTTGTATTTTTGTGACACTGATTTAAATATAAGTAACATATTGTGTGATATTTGTTTACAAAGCATTTAAAACATTCTGTTTCCTTTGAAGAATTTTGAATTTAGTACATACTGACTTTCGGTTCAGTTTGTGTTCCTGAGAAAATTGTATTACACAGATTTATTTTCTGAAATATATCATTGTATTTTACAGGAAGTAATCACTGCAACTTTAGATTTAGAAGACGTGAGAACATATCGAAATTCAATCAGGAGTCGTAATTCTATGGTAAACAAACCCTTATTACGAGAAATTTAAAAGAATTAATTTTTCACGGTCAAACAAAATTTTTAGGCGGCCGGAGCAGAAGTTTATCCCAGAGTCAAAGTCGATTTTGCCTTATCGAACGAANGAGATTTCCTATTTCTGAGGCTAGAGAAGGCATTGTCAATCTCATGTGGCATGAAGTCAGGATCGTTATCTGTATTGATGGGGGTGTCGTTGCTTTGGCGAATCTGGATATGGTTTGCAGAGTCCTGCTCTAGTGGATCCTCCAAGCAAAAACTGTTTATTTTTTTGTTCAAGACATGAAAGAAGTTTTCCCCAGAGGTGTTGGAATAAAGAATTTCTGACTTTTTAAATTTATCTTTGCAAAATTTGGTAATAAAGCCCCATGGATTACTGGAGGCAGTGGTGCAAAACTGCCTCCAGGACACCTGTTTTGCATTTTTTATTTCGGTTTTGTAATGATGGAGATNGAGTTTTAAAGTGCATTAGAAGTGCTATTCTGTTAAGTCATCAAATGCTGTATGTTAAAATTATTGAATGTATAGAAATAAAAATTTCATATTACAGTAACAACTAACTAGTTGTACATTCATTAAAAATATACATTGATCAATTAAGATTTACAAAATACAGATTAAACATAGATTAACATTTATAAAACAATAACGTTCTTACTAATTTGTTTCACCACACATTAAACCATAAATGTTTGTGGTATAGCATTATAATTTAAACAAAAACTACACTCAACCGACCAAATTATATCCATACTTATTAAACTGATGATATGCTTTGTATTATTTCATACAAAAAATGAAATGTTTACGATTTCATTTTTGCGGTATTTTTCAATTTATGTGTGTTCCTTAATTTTACATTTATANAATTATTACCATACTTATTAAACTGATGATATGCTTTGTATTATTTCATACAAAAAATGAAATGTTTACGATTTCATTTTTGCGGTATTTTTCAATTTATATGTGTTTTATTTGTATTAATTTTGGAAGCTTATAATTATGTTGATTGAATATATTTGAGACATATTGCCGCTTTATGTTAACTTTTTTCTTTCCAATATTAGTATTTTGGTTTAGTACAAGTACATTCTATCCTGTAAAAGGTGCCTTCTTTTTTAAGATCTTTTTTTATAATTTCTATTATCATTGTCATTAAATTTCTTATATATTTTGTGATATTTGATTTGTCAAAGATGGGGCCAAACATATATTATTCTGTCTTAGGATAGAGTTACATATTTCAAACATATTCTTAATGTATGGAAACGAATTACACCTTTTATCTTGCTTATATTGTTTAGTATTATATCTGCTATCTAAGTATTGTTTGTGTCATTTCTAACTTTAATTTTGGATAATCATTTAATGTAAATTTCATATCGAAATTTTTAAATTTTTTTTTTCNTGGTTTTATTGCTGTCTTAAAATTGTTTGGACTTTCATCTGTATGCTTGTTCTTTATCACTCCCGCAAAGTTTTGTCATCATACCGTCTATGGGTATTTATCTGCCACATATCTTGCTTTTCAACTTTGCGTAATGCGCTTCATTATGTTAATTGTGTTCCCGAAACCACGATTCCTATGTAATCTTTTTTTTATTCTTTACTATCTCACTTTATGTATTTCTTCCAACTTACCCCTTCAACTTCACATCTTTTTTCCGTTTCATCTGTTTGGCTATACCATTGTGTGCGGCCCTTTAACCCTTCTATTGTATTGTATTGTATTGCTTGTACTTTACCAAAGTAGAAGCACACCTTTTTTTGAATAATATATCTCATTAATATTGTCGCGACTCTTCTACTTCATTTTCTATATTGTAATCAACTTCTCGTCTAAAATATCTGTATTATATTTCGCNCATCACACCGTCTGTATGGGTATTTATCTGTCACATATCTTGCTTTTCAACTTTGCGTAATGCGCTTCATTATGTTAATTGTGTTCCCGAAACCACGATTCCTATGTAATCTTCTTTTTATTCTTTACTATCTCACTTTATGTATTTCTTCCCACTTACCCCTTCAACTTCACATTTTTTTTCCGTTTCATCTGTTGGGCTATACCATTGTGTGCGGCCCTTTAACCTTTCTATTGTATTGTATTGTATTGGTTGTACTTTACCAAAGTAGAAGCACACCCTTTTTTGAATAATATATCTCATTCATACTGTCGCGACTCTTCTACTTCATTTTCTATATTGTAATCAACTTCTCGTCTAAAATATCTGTATTGTATTTCGGATTTGTACTCATCTGGTTATGACTCGCGGTACTAGGTATGTACTCAATTCTAGTACCTAATAAAGAATAAAGTAAAAAGAAAGTAAGTGTGAGGTTATTGTGATGTTAAAAATATCTGACTGCCGGGACAGAAAAAAATAAGTGAGTAATTTTTCAAGTATTAACTATTGTGCTACTTCTTAATCATGTTCAAATGAAGATCAGTTTGATGTAAATGCCTGTTATAAATGCTCATTTTTCTTGCCAATTTTGATCATGTAGTCACTTTTTAAACCATTTTAAACTGCATGATGAGGCCGAAAACTGCTCTAGTTAGAAATTATTTTTACAAAACAGTGTAGATTGCTGCAAAGACCTTTGGAGGGATAGGTTACATCTGACTATCTTGAATATTACAAATTGAATAAATAATTCTTTTTTGCTATTTGTTTGACTTACATATGTGGAGATTGTGTTACAAACACTCAAATTTGTATTCGTTACAAACACTTTGAACTGTTTTTCTTTTTACTAACGCCTGAGTAAGACCAGCATAAAATGGCGAAAAACATTTGTAGATGATAGTGTCAAACTGAATTTTGCCAGAACCGTAAAGAAAGGTTAAGCTTCATATCTAATCTTCCCATTTAAGTATATTTTTGTGGTATATTTTCTTTGCATGTTTAGTTAAATTTGGATAGACTTAAGAATATGTAAGACTGCTTAAATAATTACATAAATATTCTTGTTGCTGTTCAATTACATTTAAATTAATGCATTTTTTTAGACTCATTTCAAAATGAGAAGTAAAGTGATATTGGCCTCATGCACTCTGAACCAGTGGGCGATGGATTTTGAGGGGAATTATCATCGCATCTTGAGAAGTGAGTCCTGCACATTACAATTTAATCCATTTGAACATATGGAGATACATTACATCTTTGCTTTTTCTTTTAGGTATAAATGACGCCAAGGCTGCGGGTGCCACATTTCGTTCCGGACCCGAATTAGAAATTCCGTGAGCATGTCAACGTTTTAAATTTCAGCGATTTTACCGATTGTTTGTTTATGCATGTTTCTTTATTTTAGAGGATACGGATGCAATGATCACTTTCACGAAAGCGACACCCTCCTTCATTCGTGGGAGATTCTGGCAGAGCTGTTGAAAGATCCGGACTGTGAAGGAATCTTGATCGACGTAGGCATGTGAGTAATTTTTTAATAGTTAGTAACTAGAACTATTGAATTTTCTACAAGAATTTATTTTTAGCTAGACAAAAATTAATACTTCGTCATAAGATGTTATAAATTAAAAAACATAATGCCTTGTTTGATACTTACCATGTGTATCATATTAAGCTTGGTTTACGCTGTCATGCAAACGAAAAAACATTGTACTAAGTGACCCAAACTTAGTTAAGACGCAATTGGTTAAAAAGGTTTTAAATGCTAGCCTTTAAAAGTGGATTAGCCAAAAGATATTCTCGACTCCTAATGAACCAGTGAAACACTTGCCAAAAGGGGAAGAACTGGCAGTTCTGTCAATTTTGTAGCAGTTTGTATGCCAGTATAAACCTTGCTTTAATTACAAGCTGTAGAAATTATTATCTCACAGATTATAATGTGCAAGATGATAATTTCTACAGCAGACACATTAAGTACACTTGGTGTCAAGGTATTGCTAACGGCATAACATGTCAATGCAAAAATGATATATGGAATTCTACTATTCTTACATCTTTACAAGCCATTGTTTTTAACCCAAGTTGATCGTATGGCTACATTGTGATGGCGGAAGAATCAAACAACAGCCCAAATAACAAAATTTACAATTTAAACTAAAATCTTAATAATAGATAAGTCCTAGTTGACATTTTAAGTTTAAATTAATAAATTAAAGAAACAAAGGCATTTAACTTTGAACAAACTTAACACTTTATTTTAACCGAGAACCCAATTCTTACAAGAAAAACGGGTTGGACGGGCGAGTTGTTGCAACAGGAAGAATATCAATACAAATGTTCAACATATAGTGTGCATCTTTCTGTCTATGTTAAATTCTAGATTAGAGGTCGACCTATGTGGAGCCCTCTGCAACACACTTGTCATCAAGCAATGGCAGTTACGTTAACATTGTATTGAATGCTTCATAATGTAGGAGAGAGTGCTTATTCAATTATAGATAGAAACACAATTCCTATTTTGTTTTCTGTGTTGTTGAGTCTATGACTCTTTTCTGCTGTAACTTTTAACAAACTGATGTAAGTTTTTATTTGTTGGGGTGCTGTATTAATATTATTCTCTTCAATCACTTTAATCGTTTTTAATTAGGTTGATTTTTTTCATAACAAATATCAAGGTTTTAATGACATATAATTTTTATTGTGGCATGTTATAAATTTTACATATGCATTACAAGCTGATAAATTATCTTAGCTACTCTTCAGTGCTATTTAAAAACATTGGAATAAATCATGATATACTACGTAATGTAAATTGTAATAATATAGTTACTTTCATATGAGAGTACTTACAATTCTAAACCTTATATATATATAAACCAAACATCTAAAATACTCTAAGTATAATATTAATTTAACGGTTTACCTTTGAATTCAATCACTGTAAATCATTGTGTTCACGATAATGAATGAGCATAAGTGAACAGCTAGTACTAACTTGTTTTCAGCCAAAAAGAAGGAAAAAACTATTATAAACCAGTCAAAGTATGAGTTTTAAAGTGCATTAGAAGTGCTATTCTGTTAAGTCATCAAATGCTGTATGTTAAAATTATTGAATGTATAGAAATAAAAATTTCATATTACAGTAACAACTAACTAGTTGTACATTCATTAAACATATACATTGGTCAATTAATATTTACAAAATACAGATTAAACATAGATTAACTTATTAAAAGAGCATTCTTATATTGCACCAACATACAAGATAGAATTAGCGAGATTAACAGAATCAAGAAGATTGCGAAAAGTTTAGGATACAAAACATCTACAATTAACGGTTTGGTCAAAGGTTACAAGCAAGGGACAAACAAACGGAATAAGCCAAAAGTTAGGTTTAACAAGTTTACATACAACAGGAATGTCGAAGGAATAATGGAAGAATTTTGTAAATATAAGAGCACAAGATCTGTTTATAAACGAGCGCCAAACATCTACAAGTTACTAAGGAATGATAAGGACAAGATAGGAATGAAGGAAAAAGCTGGTGTTTATAGAATTCCTTTTGAAAATCAACAATTAGGAGTGGCAAAAGATTATGTGGGCGTCACCACAAGAAACCTGGCGGTTCGTTTAAAGGAGCATATGTATGACGTTAGTAAAGGGAACAACAACACTATCTTGGCAATCATGGCGCAAACAGATGGTGCAAGTGTTAAATGGGATGAGGCACGAATTGTTAAACCGGTCCATTCTCCGACTATTGCCTNACATATTTATATATATGTATATATATATTAAAAGGAATGCTTATATTCCATAATATAAGCATTTCTTTTCATACTTTCTGGACAATATGATTTATAATTAATAGTTACAAGAAATCATGTAATGTAGATAAAAGTAAAAAAATGTGAATTTATCTAATCCATTATACCTCGACTTACGTCGTTTCGAGTCACGTCGTTTGTCAAAATAGTATGTGGAAAAATAAAAATCAAGTTTAAGTCATTTTATTCGACTTTACGTTTGTCCGACACAAATATTGAAGTCTTAATATGACTAGAAAAGCGTTTAATGCACATAAAATTATATTAAAATATATATCAATACATTTACAAGTACGTACTGTATTTATAGTACATGCATTTGTAAATTTAGATTACTTTTTCCTGTACTATATTAAAAACTAAAATTTATTTGTTTGTAAACTTAAAATAGATACTTATTAACCATATATTATTAAAAATGCATTAATAAATAAAATACAGAACAAGGGTTTAGCCTAGTCACAAGTAGATTCGGAGACAAGTAAATTCGACTTATGTCGCCTCTCCTGGAATCAATTACCGACGTAAAGCGCGGTATACCTGTATTATTAAATAATCATCTGCATATTTAACACCCAATTTTACAACTTTTATATTGTTTATTTAGTTATCAAAATGTTTCATAAGGATTTGTGCTAATTTTAGCCCCATTTTTGACCTCATACTAATACCGTTAGTCTGTCCATAAAATTCTTGATCTACTTGAAAATAATAATTATTATATGTAAATTTAATTAATTGTATAAACTAGTTTTCAACTTGTAATTTAATTAAATTCATCTTTATTAAATTCCATCCTATGCTCGGATACATGTTTTTAATATTTAAATTTCGTTTTCTTAATTACATCATTTGCATTTCGTACAGCAAATTGTGAATACTCTATTTCCATTAGTTGTTGTTATATTATATAATTTAAAACAATATACAGATCTTTTTCCCTTTTTTTTGGCAAAAAGTAAGTTCAGAAACGCGCATAATGAACACCTAATAATGAGGTGAACGTAATAATTTACAGTGGTTTATTTGAAAGATTAACCAATAAATTAGAATTATACTTAGAGTCGTTTAGATGATTGGTTTATATATATATAACTTTTTAAAGGTACTATTCTTCATAAAGTAATGTTTAATAATTTGCCAGAATAACATACGAAATGTACTTTACTTATACTTATGTCTTAAGGTTGTGTACCGGTGGTTTCAAATTGTAATTACTCTTATAAGTCAGTAACTATATTGTTGTAATTATTAAAATATCTTGCTTAAATAAAAGGCAAATTAAACTTGATGATAAAATTTTGAATAAAAAATGTATAGTTTGATTTGTTTTCAGATGATACATATATATGTATGTTTCTTGTAAATAAAGACATGCCACTTTAATATTTTAATAGTAAATATCCTTCTACAAAAATAAGTCTATTGCATGTAGATTTATAGAGTGAATATATTGTAAAACTTCAATTTCGCACCAACATTTGTTCACCTCGGAAATTGCCTTAAGTTTAGCTCCACACTCAATTTTAAGCACTTTAAAATATAACAATTACATATAATTATGCTGTATGTACAGAAGTTTTGAATTTGAAGGCTGAAAATATACATAACTTAACATTTAAAATGACATCTGCAATGCAAAATCTATCAAAGTGTGCTATTATCATGGAGGGCCACAGAAAAATATTAAGGTTTTATCAAAGGTTAACGAAGGTTGAGAAATGTTTCCTTAAGCCTGGTACTCACATGGAAATGGACGACGGAATGGCAAAATGATATCACTTTTGCCGCCAAAGTCTCAGTGTGAGTACTTTTGTTGTTAAAATAGTGTAAATTTGTAGAAATATTTGCAAGAACTTTGTTTCATCGTAATTTCACGATTTCTACGATATTCCCGGACAAAATTAATAGTTCACCCGGACAGTGAGTCAATTCCTGGACTGTCCGGGTAAAAATTATACGGGTGGTAACACTATTTATGATTTACATAAATACAAACATAAACATTGAATAACCCGATATAATCCAGCAATTGTTTGACTTAAGTAAATTTGCAGTTACATAAATGTATGTAAATCAAAAAAGATAATAAAAACTTCAGAGAATTAATTACTAGGGTTAAAGCTTTCCGGTGTACCGGTGCTCTTGACAGTAGTGCACGTGAATACTTCTGTGGTTTGGTGCAGCTGTATTTGTACATAGACATTTTTATGTGAACGTTGTGTTTTATGTTTATATATATTTTTCGTACTTTTATATCAGAATAAATACTGCCACATAATGATTCTCTTATTATGGGTTATGAAAAAATAGTTTCCTTCTGCTATTTTGTATAACATTGTGGTTTCTTATGAAATTACATTTAATAAATATACAAATTGAACTTGCACAAAATTCAAGTTAGATAATGGACCCAAAAAGTAACCCTTAAGCAATGGTTACACCATGCAATTTCCAGCCGGGCAGGTGACTGCAATCGCAATGGCTGTTCTCATTAACCAGTAAACCCCTTCGATAACTGGAGCGACTACAATCGCAACTAAAAACAGAATGTTGCAAACGTGCATCCAATCAGAAAACGTTTTTGTGCCATCAACACGGTGGAAACATCAAAAAGAGTTCATTATCGTGGCAGAAAACAAGACGACGGATAAGTTCGCAGAATCCAGATTAATCAAGCTAATTCAGTCTCACGAATG